CACCAAGTTTTGCTTTACGTACCGTAAAGACAATTGTGTTGTCTGTTGCAAATTAAAGCATTCATCGTTTACGCTGGAGGAGAACAAAAACAAAGAGAGAGAGGAAAAAAAGTTGTCCTTGCGATGCAGATGGCAACCATCGACCAAAGAAATGCAACTTTACATCTTCTTTTTAGTGCAACTCTTAAACTGTAAAACATTTCCAATGATTCCTTGAGAGGTATTGTTTCTTCATTACATGTTCGCTTTTGAAACTTTTTAAAAAATGTTTAAAATTTTTGTATTTCACACATCACAGAGTAACTCGTCTTCAAAAGATCCAAAGCGGGAGGTTTTGTTTTGATCGTTTTGTCAAAGGAAAATGAAACAAAAAACTTTTTCTTTTTTTTTTTTTTTTTTTACTTTTTGCTTTTCTGCATCGGCATGGCCTTCCACAATGTCTGTTTACTAGAACATAAACATAGGAGGGGATCCATACCTTCTCTATATTCCCATTCCATCCGGTTTCCATGTTCAATTGGACTTTTTGTAATTTAATCACCCAAGCAGAGCCTCGTGGTCAGCAGTCCACCCTCCACCCTCCGCCCTCTGAGAAGGAGGAGCAAGGGAAAACCAGGAGGCTGAAGGGGAAGGGCGTAGAACAAGAGCTGTACAACTGGGTCGAGCCCACATCAAGATAAACCAGGGTAATCAAGACATAGATGAGTAAAAAGCCCCAGCAAAACCGTCATATAACGCAATAGGGTTCCCTTGGTAGCCTGGATTTTCTACAGTAGAGGAGGGTGGTGCTGAAGCAGCGCCGTAGCTCCCTGTTGGAGAAGATGCAGATGAAAGGATTGACCCCGGCCTGGGCAAAGCTCATCCACACGGCTGCTGTCAGATACCCTCTAGGGACCACAGAGCCCCTGGCAAACACGCGCCAGTAGCAGGCAACCAGGTAGGGCCCCCACAGAGCCAAGAAGAAAAATGTCATTATGTAGAACATCCTACTAATCCTCTTCTCCGTTTTGAACTCATCGAGCACCAGAAGACGTCTGCGGCCCGCTGCGTTGCTGTTCTGTCGGATCCCCAGCAAAGTAGGCGGGGTAGGACCACGGCCAAACCCGGCCAGCCAGTTGGCCGCTGCCTGCCCGCTGGCGCCTGGCCCGTGGAAGGTCCAGTTCTGGCTAACGGCAGGCACAAACTGGACGGGCTTCATCTTTCGGCGGTCGTGGACGAAGAAGATGAGCTTGAGGTAAACCAGCTGCGTGGCCAGAAGGATGAGCGCCAGCAGGAGCATGAAGCCCAGCGAGTCGTTCGCCCTGAAGGAGCGGTGCTGAAATGTACACTGGTCCTCCTCCGGGATGAACGTGTACGTCCCGACGTCCAGCACCGGAGGGAACGCCATGGCCACCGACAACGTCCACACCATGCAAATGACGGCCAGGCACGTCCAGAACGTCAGCCTCTTGGTGTAGAAGCGGTGATGCGCGATGGCCAGGTAGCGGGTGACGCTGACGCAGAAGAGCATGAATGCTGTATGGAAACAGGAGAGCACACCGAGGAAGGCAATCACTTTGCAGGTCAGTATGCTGTAGGTTAAGACAGATCCATTCTTTACAGAGGTGAAGACGAAGGGGAAGCAGATAGCGGAGCGCAGGATATCCGAGGCGCACAGGTCCAGCAGGAAATAGTAGGGTGCCCGGTGCAGGCTCTTGTCTTTAACCAGCAGGATTGAGATCAGGAGGTTCCCTACCACACCGACTCCAATGATGAAACCCAGGGAGGTTAATTTGAGGAATGTGGCAAGAGGAGAAACATTCTGCAAGATGGTGTGGTCCCCTGCATGGCTATAGTTCGCCATAGATGGAGGAGGGATCATAAATGTAGTGGAATAGCTTCAGCAGAGTATCATGATCTGGAGGTGGCAGGGGGAGGCGTTTGATCCATTGGGTGGTGTGCTTTGAAGAGGTATCCAGGCGTACAGGCGACCTCCTCTCTAAGGCATCCTTTGTTTCTTTGTCTCATCACACACCTGGAAAAGATCCCTGAAAAACATCATCCATCCATCAGCGTTGAGTGCCAAACAACAACTGCACTTGCATAGTTGATACAAAAAAAAGGCAGCCATTCCCCCACCCCCCTTCTTCCACCCCTAACGATGACGACTGGAAGAGGACTTCTCCACTTTTAAACATAACTGTGAAACAACCTGGGGGGAGGGGGTGGAAAAAAACCCTAAATGAGACGAGAAAAGCAGAGACATGCAGCGACGGAGCCCGATGAAAGTGACACATTTCTTGTCATGACGCCTCGGAATTTCCCGAACAAAAGATGGCAACAGCGCAGTCCAGCCTTCACCGAGAGACGACGCATCTTTACGCGTCGGGAAGCAGAGAGTTCCACATTTGCGAAGGTTTAGGTTGGATTTCCAGTCCGCCCCACCGCCCCCCACCCCACTCAGCTCACAACACCCCATTCCCCCTCCCCCTTTATGGTTGAGGGGAAGGAAGGTGGGGTGGGGGAAAGGGGGCTGTGAATTTTCGGCGCAACTGTGAAACATAAAAAGAAATGCAGACAAAAAAAAAAAAAGCCATTATTGATCACACCCTGCACTTTCCTCGCAGAACAGAGGAAGGCTCTCTCCATGGAAAACCGACGCCTCGCCCCGCACCGTGCAACACAAACGCTCAAGCATCCCTCCGTTTTCCTCCGATCATCAAAAAGGTTAAAGGGATTACAGGGTCGCTAATAAGCGCCGCTCTCATTAATGGATCTATCGAGCCAAAACCACCATTTTCCTCAACGTCTCGCATAGAGTGAAAGCGGACACATATGATGCATTTTGCCATAGGATCTTGCTGTCCCGTGATGAGAGATGGATCGACGCGGCTCGGGAGAAACAGCGAAAACAAGCCGCCTCGTACTAATGATGTGACACACTTTCGTTTACAGCTTATTCGATTACACACAAAGGCGTTCGGGTCCATACTTACGCGTCCGAATTGCGTCCTCTTAACGATCCGGGGCTCGAATCCAACGGATTATTGTTATTTTTGTATTATTATTAATTTTCATCATCGGAACGGAACAACAATCTCCGCGTCCTGCACGATTCGCGCATCCATTAGAGCAGAATCATTCCCGAGGCTCCGCTATGAATCGACCAGAATCGCTGCCGCCACATAAGAAGACAGGGCCAGAGGGGGGAAAGAGGGGGAGAAAAAAAAAAAAAAAAACAGAGAAGAAGACAGACATTCGATCACACGATCAATCAAACTCCTACCTGTTGATAATCCCAATTCGTGTCCCTCCGGTTGGTTATTTACATTGCACACGTCGGGTTTTTAGCAGTTTTTTACATTTGGTGCCTGCCCCCCCCATCTTTCTCTCTCTCTCTCTCTCTCTCTCTCTCTCTGTCTCTCTTCTTCCTCCACGGTGAATATCCTACAGTACACGGAGCGCACTGCGCATGCGCCCTGCATCCCTCCTATTTGTGATCCAAGACGCGTCTTGTCTCTTGTTGCAGCAGCAGCAGCAACTGCGTCTCTCTGACGGTAACATCTGCTTCGACAGGGCCACTGCTGACTGGTAACGCGTTACTACAGTAACGCGGAACGGATTACGGCAGGGGGGGAGGGGACGTTATTTGAGTCATTACTTTTAAGAAGTGTAAAACTACTTTCCCGTCAAATAAGTTATATATTTAAAAATATTATCCTTTATAAATGTATATATATTATTTTCCCCAAAGGGCAATATTTATATGAAAAAAAAGAATAGTAAATGTAAATAAGAGTGGTGTTTAGCCTCATTTGCGCTGATTCCCCCTGAATAAAGTTAAGTGCAACCAAACAGGTTCAACTACTTAGTAAATATGGTGGTGGAAGCATCATGCTGAGGGGATCCGTTTGGTCAGCGGTGTAACAATCATGACCCAAGCATGTTGATGTGTCAGAAAGGCTCAGAGTCCCAATGTAAGCACAGGTGAGAAGCCAAACACAACTGGGATGTTGCAGCAAAATATAGAGATATGATAGGCTTTGTGGGGCTCGTGCGCAAGGTCACTGTGATTTGTAGATTTTTTTTTATTTATTTATTTTTTTATAGTTTGTACTTTGACGAAATACGCAAGGCACCATGGTTTTAAGCCAGACCTACATCACTGTTGGATGGATTCCTCTTGTACCGTAGGACGTATGCATTATAGACGAGCACTCTGCGCTCCCGCATGTTCGTTCTGCCTGGTCAGCATCAGAAATTCATAGGATCTGGTCCACACCACCTCCCCTACCCCACCCAAACCATGTACGGAGGAACTGTGATGTCACAGACATGGCCACCATGGGGAACAATGACTCAATCAGCCATATGTGCATGGTTTGGGGGGGGGGGGGGACCAACAACAAAACAGATGATGTATTCGTTATCATGCAGAGAAGTTGAGCTTGAAACTCACACATCTATCACACAGGGAGGAATATCTGATATGTTTATTCTTTTTCTTTTTACATTATTATTGATGTAAAAAGCCTGAGTGACTTTTCACAGGTATGTTTGAGGATATTTTACCATTTCAGAATCTTGAAAACCACAATTTTATGAGACAAAACAACACAAATTGCTCAATGAGAAAAACGGAAAAAAACAAAACAAAACAAGATATGTTTTCAAAATAATATTTTTTAAAATGGCTTTTGAATTCTGCTTTCTCGCTTGGCCCCCTTTGACTCTGACGCCTCCAAATGAAACCCAGTGCAACCTATGGTCTTCTGTATCCATCTAAATAGTGCAGTTTCAGCTACACCCGTCTTTCTGTGCTTACTGAGGAAAAGAATCCCCGCAGCATGATGCTGCCACCATCTGAGAAGACTGACTAAATCTACTCATGCAGGCATTTTAATTATTTATTAGAATTAATTTTATTGACTTCAGTCATAAACAAAGTTGCTTCCCCCCCCACCACCTCTTTCACCTTATTGAACAACTCAAGAACCAACTAAAATCAAGAACCACTAAAAGAAGTTTGATTCAATGCGTTTATTCTTTACAAAAGCTGTAAGCAGAACTATTAGCTCAAACTTTCCAAAGCGAAGTCATGTGATCGTCACACATCAGAATCAATCAATGCTTGATCGTATCGATCAAGTAACCACAGTGATCGTTTAAAGCCAAGAAATCTGTTTAAAGAGGAACAGGGCATTTTAAGCAGATATTCGAGAAAGTCTTTGTGCATGGAAGGCAACAGTGTTTGGTCCTTAATCACAGTGTTGTGCTCGCACACTTCCTGGATGTTTCCTTTCTGTGTTTCACGTGGTCCTCCCCCTCCGCCCCGAGTTTTTGGTTTGGAAAATCAGCTCCAATAAGGCACGTTTCAGAGCAGAACCTGCGCCAACAGATCCGTAGACCGCAGGGCGCGTGCACCGGGAGGTTTAACGCGGCACAGGGAGGCGACGTTATCTCGGAGGTCCTCCGTTCTTCAGAGCGGCCCATTCCGCCTCCGCGCGTACCAGCCGAGGCCGACGCAGAACCCCGTCACGGCCAGGACGGAGAACAGCAGCAGGGCCAGAGCGTCGCCCGCGTCGTACGCCTCCGCCGCGGGGACGAGGGAGGAGAAGACCAGCAGCCACACGAGAGCCGCGCCGCTTGGAGCCTCAGCCATGTTGGTCTCTTTCTCCTGTTTATCTGTCGCCCGTTCAGTTGCTTTTCTAGAAGCAGATGCGCCTGCGTTAAAAAAAAGGAAAAAAGTCAGGTGACTGCTGCGCCACGGCTGGACTTCCTGGTACGCTCAGCCAATCACATCGCTGCTCGGTGACATGAAAATGAAAATGGGTTTAGCCCCCACCTTGATCTGCTTAGATCACAGGTGAAACTCCAGTCCTGCAACTTTTAGATGTGCTTCTGCTACACGACACCTGAATAGCATAATTAGGTCATTAAGGCTCTGGAGAAGTGATCCACACAAGAAGGAGGAAATTAAGCCATTTCATTCCAGTGTTTTGTAGCTGTGGCACATCTAAAAACTGCAGGACAGCGACCCTTCAGGACTGGAGTTTTTTTTTTTTCGCCCCTGGCTTAGATGGCATGCAGTGGATATAAAGGAAATTAAACTTATCCTGAGGATTTTAGACCTTGAGTCTTGTCAACACAGGCTGCTTATGCCGCTGCCTCTCAGCCTCATCAGGCTGTTCTACCTTGCTCAAGATAATCAACAGCTCTTGGCAAAAAAAGAGAGAGAAAAAACTTTTTTTTTAGTTATTGTTGTATGTTTCAACAGTTGGAGGAATGCATGCATTTCTATTACAAGTGGGGGAAAAAAACAAGGAAAAAGGAGTGGAGTTTACTGTTTAAACAGGGTTAGTTTGGGAGACTATTGTATGAAACTTAGTGGTGACAGCATCAGGCTGTGGGAATGTTTTTCTTTGGGTCGCAAGAGCCAGTTAATATGTGGATAAAGGTGGTGACCCCTATTTGGCAAAGAAGAATAGCAAACCAAAGGTCTCTTGATAGCAGCAACATGATGATGTGGGGAAAGGTTGCGTCCCAAAGTTTTGGCTCATATTCGGTTTGTACGATTGTACATATTCACTTCATATTTTTCAATGATTTACAAAGAAACAAGAAGCCCTTCATAATTTCCCTCTCACTTTACATTGTAGCGCATAAACTCATAATAAAATACACACAAGTAATTGACTGTGATGTGAAAAACATCAAAAGTTTAATTATGTGTCAAGACATTTTTATGCTTTCGTATCAGGAAAACAATTCACAGACGAAGCATTTTCAAGCATTTCCTCCCTGTTTAAAAAGCACGGCCTAGCTTTGCTGCGAGTCGGGACCAAGCGTGCCAGCGTCTTCCTACCCGATACAAATTGTGCTGCTTGTAGAACCGTAGGGGCTTGAGTTTTGCAGCATCTGTTGATCTCTGCGTGCTATTTCAGCGGCGCTCCGCCTGTAATTAAATTGAGCCGGCGCTCGCCAAAGTAAAATATTGACCTTGTACGGGCCGTCATACCCCTCCGTACCTGCCTGCTCTGCAGCGAGGAGATGAATGGCCACATGCAGGTTCGGCACACTGTTCCCACCTTTGAAATCATCCTCTGCCTCACTCGCTCCTGCTGGCTGTTTGGCAGTTTGTCTCACCGTAGTTCGCACACACACACACGCATGCAGAAGCTTTTGTGAGTTGTGTCTGATCTATGTGCCTGCCTTCAGCAGAGCACATGGCAATTATGAGCTTCTCAAAGAGCTGCTTTGGAGGAGCAAATCAGATAAAAATATGTTGCGTTTGATTTGATATTTGTTCATTCTTAGAGGGTATTAGCTCGCGTCTGAAAAAGCCGGCTCTGCGTAAACTTTAAAGGAAAAACAGAATGACGCCAAACGGGTAATGCAGGCACACATGTATGGAGCCCATTTAATCCTCATGTTCCTGCCTAGGCAAATTATTTCTCTGGGAGAAACAGGCTTGGGGATGACAGCAAATGTTGCAAAGCTTATTTTTATTGATCAAGAATAATGATTCCTTCCCAAATGTGCAATTTTTCAGTGTCGGTTTTGGTTCTGCGCCTCCTCGCTATGATGGGAAGACGAGGTTGTCAGCTCTAAATGTTTTCCTACATCAGCCACAGTCCTTCATTAATGAACAGTCCTGCGCATGAATGCACTCGAAATAGTATCGTTTGCATTTTCTAAGAACCTTGACATTAAAAAAAGCTATTTTTAGGCCTGCCCTGCGTGAATTGCTACCTTGTCATTAAGAGGTGTTCTGAATTACAGTGCTGCATAGTTAAACCCAAATTTTGCCAACTTTACCCAGAAAGGACTGACCAAAACATCATCTGCATACAGACAGCAGTAAGAATGGATATGTGGACATTTCTGAGTCCAAAATGCTTTTAACCGGTCTTATTACGGGCTAATAAGACTGATATTAAGACCAGTAATTAACTGGTCAAAGACAAACACATGTGTTTGTCTTCCAAAGACAAACACACCATCATCAAAAAAAGCAAAAATGCCAAACCGCTTGCTAACTAGGTAGTAGCTAATCTTTGTTTTGGAGACTTGGTAACCCAAAGATGAATCTCAGTGCTACAGTTTACAAGGTGTAAGTTTTGGAGAACTTTTATCTCCTTTCCAAGTCACATCAGGAGTTGAATATGAATACTCACAGCATCTTCACGAGAAATGTTTCTTTTTTTCATAGGACAGAGAACCTGCCTCCTTCCAGGCGGACATCATGGTCGGACATTGACCTGGTGACCAGATGAACATTCAAGCATCATGGAAATTAGTCCTCAGTGACGGGACAGAATTGAGGAGATCTACAGTTTCTCACTGACACCTTTGTATTTTCTACTTTTCCAACTATTTTGATGCCGAACATTGAAAAGAAACTCTGTCTACAAACATCTTGTTCAACACCTGCAAAAAAAAAAAAAAATATATATATATATATATATATATATATATATATATATATATATATATATATATATATATATATATATAAAATTTTGACCCATTTGTTGATCATATCAGACCTCATGTGAGGACATTTCATCTTGAAATGCATTTCCACTTCACTCAGGAGTAACAAGGGGATGGCACTCTTTACCAAAAACAGAGGACATATGTCCCCAAAGATGAATTATTTTTCATAAATCGGTTTGTCAGAGAGCGTTTGAGGATGACCCCTTCTGCTTTATTTTGTTGCGGTTCAGTGCCCCATCCAATAACAAGCTGTGCCGTGAGCTACGTGGGAAAACAGACCCATCAATGCAGTTCATGTTTGCATTCAAGGCGATAAATATTTGAAAGGGAAATAAAGGTATAGTAGATTGGATCGGCACAACGCGGTGTCGGATCAGGACTGGCACACTGGCAGGGACGTGGGATGAACTGAAACGCATAACAAACCTGCGAAGAGATGAATGACCCAGTGTAATTATCTATTCATACTGGAAGCTGAGAGGGAGTAGGAGGCTGGATGCTTGAGAGTCACGCTTCGGCGTGTTACACTGACAGTTGCATGATGTTTTAAAGGGTAATGAATTCATCTTGATATTGTCTTTTTTTTGTTTTTGTTTTTGGCAGGCCCTAAGATGTGGTTTAGTTGAATGTTTAGTCATCTTTACTATCGTGGCAAATGCTGCGTTGTCATTACACAAATTTCGGTTTGTAGTCGTAACCTTTCCCTTCAACTCGCCTGTCGGTTGTCAGAGAACGACGCATAAAACACATAAACACTTCAGAACATCTTTTGTTTTGGTGAAGTTCAGTCTCCGAATGCCAGATCTGAGTTTTTTTTTTTTAGTTTTGTCAAAAAGTACCTAAACACAGGCACCTAAAAAAAAAAAAACAACCCCGGATAATAACATTGACAGCTGTGATTGATTTCCCCACTTCTCAAAAGTTACCGTTTTGACAGGTGCATTTGCTGAGATGAAAGGAAACTAATGGCTTTCAAGAAAGTGGGTCATCAGTCTTAAACAGTTGTTTCAAAAGCTGGGGTCAAGGATCCCTAGTGGTTCATAAAGAAATGTTGTTTTTTTAAAACGGCAACTGTTTGACATCTGCACCAACAACAACAATTAAAAAAACACAAACTGTATTATAATTTCAATGCAACTGCGAAAGCAAAGCTGAACACATGAATATTGATTAGATTAAATGCGCATTTAGTCGACAAAGCCATTTGTGCTGCTTTCTCACACTTAGCTATTAACATAAGGTAAGCAGCTAATGACATGAGCGCTTATTAGCTTTAGGATATTGAAACAGCTAATGGGTGGGCTTACTATTGACAAGTTATTTTCAAAAAGTGAATTGTTTACCTTCCGTTGAAGTTTTAATTTCCATTTCCATTCACTCAACTACTGACAATAAACTAAAAGCTAATTGAGCAAGCGTATGAGCTGTAAACAGTGGAGAACAGTAAAGTTTGCGATCTAGTAAAAGCAATGAAATTGAAAATTTACATCTAAATGGTCTTGCGTCTGAATCTGTTGTTGAAGCAGAAGTTTGCTGTTGTCATAATCCACTCAGCATCACCAATACACCAGCAGCTAATTAGCTAATTGAATTGGTGCAAAAGTAGCTGTGAACAATTAGATAATAGCTGAGCTTACTGTCAGAAAACCAATGAGGAAAAAAAATTAATACATAAAAATGGTTCGGTGGTATGAATCAGTAATTCAAATGAAACATTTTCCTCTCACATTTTTGATGACGTATGGCTGGGCAAGCTGCAAGCATCAAATCATCAAAGCGCTTCAGCATTCTCCATAGATTTTCCATCAAATTCAAGTCAGGACTTTGGCCGGGCTCCTCCAAAACATTAATATTCCTTCCAGTCAAAAAAAACACATTGACGGAACTAAAATATTGAATATTTGCAGACTTAGCTGTACATAACCTGTCAAAGATGTATTATAGCAAAATCATTTTTTGGATGTCTTAGATCTGGATGGATTCCAACTTTTACCCAAAAAGTTGCGGTAATTAATGTGACCGCGGGATAAGTTGTGGACAAGTTCATCTGGAGTTCATTGTCTCATTTTACAAACGGCCGCAGAATAATCAAGTTACCGTTATAAGAAAACGGTTTCACTTTTATAACAAAGCAAGTTAAACTGACTCCTGTGTGAAAACAATAATCACCACTCCGCTCCACGAGCAACGTAGTTCGATGAAACAGTTTCCCTCTTGAACGATTATAAGAGAGGTATTAATGCTTATTTGTGAGTATG